GAGAGAGAGAGAGAGAGAGAGAGAGAGAGCAATTTCTAATTTTACATGAACGTCGAGTTTTGTCGCCTTAAAGATAACTTTCTGGCAATAGAGCAAACATTTGCACAACATTTTTGAATATAAACTCCATTTAAATGATTATAAAAGTGAATGAATAAAAGCAAAGCATGAGCTCAGGGGCATTGGCTAAGCATTATTGTCACACAAATCACTTTCTTGTGTTTTGGAGATTTGGAAAATATTATAATTTTTGCAAATTTTGCGCTAAATTTTAATCAAAATGTAGTTCTGGTAAATAATATTACAAAAACCAACAATAATTGACTTACATTTCATATGTATTTCTAATGAAAATAATATCTCCTTTTGTTCAGTGATTTGTAATTTCAATTCACATTAATATTCTGTAGATCTAAATGATTGACTCAATACATGCATTCATTTATATAATTATGTGTTTATTCATACATGAGTTATATAAATGTTGTTTTAAATAAAGTAAATAAAAACATAAGATATCTCTTACAGGAATTGTATAATAAATGTTTGGAAAATTGCATTTTGATGTAAATCTAATTTGCATTTTACTCGCAGCCAATCTCTGCGATATATTTTATATTTTGGAGTTCATTATAAATTAAAATACATTTCACTATTTATTTGTTTTGAATTTGCATTTTTACAAAAAGACTTTAAGTCAAAAACATAACACTAGTTTTGCGCTGAAAAGCGATAACAAAATAGCATTAATGGCTTTTCGGAGAGGAAATGAATCGAAATGTTATATTCATTTAGAAAAATCATAATTAAGTCAAAAGCGAAATGTATTTAAATTGCAAATAAAAGGAAAGATAAATATTAGCAGAGAATAGGGAGTGATATGAGAGATCCCTTCACTAATTAGGAGTCAAAACATAATAATAATAATAATTATTACATATAAGAGTTTGGAGGCGATAAAAATGAGTTGTAATTAAAAACATTATTAAAAACCCTATACAGTGTACAGCATATCCAGTGAAACAAAACACAAATAGCATGATAGAGAGTATCCATACCTCGATGTGGGATCCGTGCGGAAGCGGTACACCATTTGGTGAATCAATCAAGAGTTGTGTCCTGTTATGTGTGATGACGAGCGCGGCGTCCGTCTCATGCAATTGGCATTCCCTGAGCATCGGTGCGAACTGATCGCCTGTTAAGTCGTTGCAAATACATTAACATTAATTAGTTTTACACAAACAAGTAGTCCGTAGTCTTAGTCCTCCTCCTCTTCCCATCTCCTAAAACACAACTCCTCTCTAATTGTCTTATCGTTTCTTTGTTTCGTTTCTTAACATTAGTTGTGTTTTTTGTCTTTTATTTTATCGCTATTTCCTTCTCTATCCCTATCTCTATCTCATAATACCTAGTTTTACGACATTTTAATTAAACGCTTTAATGAGCACTCAATTCATGTTTTAATTTCCACTAGACTTTTACATTTCTTATCGAATTTGTTAATGTATTTCAATGTTTAGATAAGAAATTAATATTACTTTTAGGACTTTTACAACTTTTAGGATATTTATTTGTGCCAAAATGTTTTGTCAGCTATTTTTCATTCGCATATAATTAATAAGTGATGAGAAGTTTCACGAAATGCATTAATGATTAATCTCTTGACAACACATCAAATGAGAGCCAAAAATAAATAATTACTCAAAAATAAGTCAATTAATAATTAAAAATACAATTAACTTTTAAGTCCGCAAAATAATTAATCTAACTTTCAATGGTATGCAATACGTGTCATGTTATACAAAAACAAAATAAACTTTTAGCTTAAAGTATTAAAGTAGTTATGTTTACGTGAAAACAAAATTTAAGTATAAATTAAATGACAAAACACACATGGTGGGCAACTTTACCTTTTTCAAGGGCGCACAGGGGGCCGACCCAAACACCATTGAGGCATTTGATCTTGCACACTCTCTTCTGCTCCATAGTGCCGATGACGCCCACGAACTGTATCTCTTCAATGGTGGCAAAGTTACCGCCGCTAACTGTGCCCACAATGTCCGGCGACGGCGACCCATTCACCAGCACTTCCGGTGACGCGCAACCCATCCTATGGTTATTATTAGTATTTTTATTACCATTTGGTTTGCCTTTCGTCCCATTTTCTTCGTTCAGTATTGAATTCAGTGACTTTCGTTTGCCTGAAAAGTAATTAGTTTTTCATTTTAGTAATTAATCATTAAATATTAATATTTTATGTTTATTTCTAGTTTATAGTTTAAAAGTAATGCATTTTTAGTCTATTTTTGTTTAATTTATAACTTTTGAGAGATATTTAATTCTCGTGTTAATTAACTTTCGTTTAGAAAGTGTTTACTGTGAGCATAATTATGCTAAAAATGTTTCATTTTATTTATGTAAAAATTAATAATTATAATATTTATAACGAATTTTTAATATATAAAATAGTATTTCATGTTATTTTGAGTAATTTTTCAAATTTAAATTCCACAAAATTCTGGGAATTCTAGTTATTATTGTTTACTAGTATTTTAGTTTATACAGTATTCTCGCATCCATTATATAATCAATGATAATATGAATACATTATTCAGATTTTCACTTAAGAAATAAGGAAAATAGACCACAAATCAGCATTTATTACCATTATATTAGTTACTCAATGGATAGGGAAGGCCTTGAATGCCAATCAATACTATATATCTGTTGTCATGACTGACTGACCACTTATTAAATTGCATGACATGTCTGAAGATTTCTACATCTTTGAAATCTCCAGATAATAAACCCTTTATTTATTCATTTTAGTTAATGGCAAAAACTTCTCCATTCATAATTAAACAATAATTTTATCGGACATTATATTAATCTTTGAACACTAAATAAAATATAACTTTTTATATAAATAATAAATATAAATAATTTCTTTGTAATTTTTTTTATAAATTAAATATTTGTTAGATATAGAAATATTTTTGAGTGATTTTTCAAAAGTTTTTATTTATAAAAAAGTTGATGAAATGAAAAGTTTTTAAAAATTTATTTATATATTCCGTTAAAACGGTAACACAAATAACATTGTTATCGGATATATTTTAAATCAATTTTTGAAAAACAATTTTCTCTTATCTAATGGAGAGGAATAAAGCCTTAAATCTAGCGCTTCTTCGAGTTTTATGATAACATGTGTTGAGTTTAAAGAAATAATTGATAAAAAGTGAATATATTTACGTATTTAATGAGACTTTAATAATAAGTTAGATATTTGTATAAATTATTGATTTCCAATACTAATTACAGTTATACAGTATAATAGGTTTTACATTAAAATAATCTCTACTATATTTTACATTCAATTTTTGTACAAAAAAGTTTTTTTTATATCAATATAATAATCATAATTATGTTCATTGCTTGTAATTTTCATGTATTAAAACATTTATGAAATCCCGAAATAAAAATGCTATAATAAAAACCATAAGTTAGAAAAAATATTATAAAAATTGATTCTTTTCTATAAATATAAAATATTTGCTAAAAATAATTCACTTTAAACAAAACTATTTGTTTTATATCACAAACCATTCATTCATTGAATTGTTTTTAACTAAAAATAACAAAATTTATTTATATATCGTTAAGTGTTTTAAACTATCGATTGTGTGCTTTAATGGTCTCTATGGAGTGATTCGTGTCTTTAGTTCAACCGAAATATATTTATTTAAATTTAATTTTAATATTTACTACAATTTATTTGTCTAATGGTCCTAGATTATGCTCGGGTTAGCGTAAAATGGTTCACACATTTGACATTTGCGTCCACGTTGAATTAAATTTAAATAATTTAAATAAAATTACAATTTTTCTTGAAATTAAACTATAATACCAGTAAAATAAATTATTAATACATTAAAATAATAGTAAACTGTACCATAAATTACATATTTGTACGCAAAATAAATCATTAAGCAAGAAATGCAATTTTGTTT